GCACATTTAACACCGTTTTGATGTATTTCATGCTGCACACCGTTTTGGTGTAATTTAACACTTTTTAATTTAGAGTATATATAATTTAGAGTATATATATATACTAAAATATTAGTAAAAAAAAAAATTATTATAGTTAATCTATTTTTGTTTTGTTATTAACACTACACTTAAATGTATTATAATTATTATTCAATTTCAATATATTTTTCTATATTTCTCAGGTCTACTAAAAATGTAAATTATCTTTATAGCTCAGTATCTTTGATTTTAAATGACAGTAAGCTTCAAAAATTCTAAGATTATTCAAAGTATTTTTTTCAACATAGATTTAAAATTCTCAGCTTTCTAAATTTTTTTATTGCTGTTTCGTTTAAATACACTGACAGTTTTTCAACAATTAACGATAATATGATTTCTGAACTTCTTTTAAAAGAAGAGTATTTAAATTGCTTTGATAAAACATGTCATCTTTCATTTGCCTTATTGCATTATCTAACGTTATAAAGCAACCTATTGAATCTATCTAGGCTGAAATTGGTTTTAAAAAGTAATCGTAAATCATAGTTTTTTTAATACCCTTCTAAAGCCTTGCATCCAAAAATTAAATTGTCTAATTAATATTTTGTTGTGCAATTTAGATAAAACAAAAAACAAAAGTATTTTATATTTTAAGCTAAATCATTTTGTGGCACTGGTTAAAGATTTTCCCAAAAAACGACTAGCTGTTGTTATAAGTGATTCAAATTTACTCAGTATCAAAAAAAAAAATTTAAGTCTATTTTTCCACCTTCAGATAACAAAATACAAAAAACAAATTCAGTCTAAATTATTCTTTTCTACTGTTTCTAAGAGCACTTCAGATAAGTCTGATATTTGTTATAAAACAGTTAAAACTAAAGTACTTATCTCAAAAGATGCCAACAACAGTGATAAAAACACTCTTGAATCTAATGTTTCACCAAAGGAAAACAACGTTATTGACATTGTTTATTAAATACAGGGGTGCGCAGGTTATCGCAGAAAAAAATGAAAACAAAAATTTCGCGGCAAAAAATATGATATACAGTGAAAAACATTTTTGGCGGGAAAATGCAACACAGTTCAACAAGTTAATCCTTAAAAAATGCCGTTTTTCACTAATTTAGTTGTAAAAAATGGCACGATTTGACAGCACGCAAAATGAAAATGCAAGAAAACTTGTTTTTGATCTTTGGAAACGTGGTGTGAAAAAAGTTGAAATTTGCAAAGCCGTGAAGGGACAGCTTCATAATTTCAACGTCTACAGACTCTTAAAAGACTTAGAAACTGGAAAAAATTACAAAAGAAAAAAAACAGGCCCAAATCGTTATGTGAGAACTAAAGAACTTCGAAATTCGATCGACTGCAAAGTACGACGAAACCCAAACAGGTCAATTTCATCCTTAGCTAGAGAAGCAGGTGTGTCTCGAAGGACTATGCAACGTGTTGTCCACGATGATCTGGGTATGAAGAGCCTTGTCAAGTCAAAAAGACAACTTCTGAGTGAGGCAACTAGAGCCAAAAGACGCAAAAGATCAAAATAGTTACTAAATTGGTTCAAAGACCACAAAGATGTCTCTATCGTTTACAGTGATGAAAAAATTTTCAAAGTTGAACCAGAACCCAACATATACAATGACAGAGTTCTTGGTAAGTCCAGAAGAACAGTTCCTTTGGAACTGAGGACTATTCCAAAGAGACAGCACCCTGTGGGCGTCATGGTTTGGGCAGGTGTGTGCTCTGATGAGTCAAAAACTCCCCTTGTTTTTGTTCCTGAAGGTGTAAAAGTTAACCAGGTGACCTATGTCAACTTCATCAAAGCTAACCTCATTCCTTGGGCCAAAAAGAAGTTTGGGGACGATCCATGGGCCTTTATGCAGGATAGTGCAGCAGCACACAGTGCAAAGAAAACTGTCAGCTTCTTGAAAGAAAATGTTCCGCACCTTTGGACCCCAGATATGTGGCCCCCTTCAAGCCCAGACATTAATCCTATGTATTTTGCAATATATGGAGTGTCATGGAGACCAAGAAGGCAGCCAAAGCATATTCAAATTTGGCAGCCCTCCGAAACGAATTGAAGAAGATCTGGAAGAATCTTAGTCCGGACATGGTGCGACAATGCTGTGAGTCAGTTCCAGAGCGTTTGAAGAGTGTCATTGATGCCAAAGGAGGCTACTTTGAAATTCATTAGTGTTTTTGAGTAAAAATATATGTGATTTGGTATTGTGAAAAGTTTTACTTTGAAAATAAAAGCCATTTTTGAGATATAAATATTTATATTTTTCTGCGATAACCTGCGCACCCCTGTACAAATCAGTTAGCACCTTATTTAAACTATGATGATTCATCATATCATTTGTGTGGTGAAAAATTAAAATCAGGATCAAATGATAATTAAAACTGTTATCTCTAATAAATAATGTCTAAGTTCCAGATAAATGCTTTCAATTCCCTTTAACAGGTAAAAGCAAAAAAAAAAATTTTCTAAAATGGTTAGTTGACTGCTCTTGGCTTACTTTAAAATTTTACTCTAAAATTGAAGATGGTGCATATTGTCTTTCGGATACACTTTTTGGTACAAACGTACCAAACAAATATGCATTATATAAATTGTTTAAAAAACCATTCAATACTTGACGTAATGCGATAAAAATTTTAAACGATCATGAGAAAACTGTTGACGAATTACATACCAATCCATACATTGTTATAATATGCTTTTATCTAGAAATAAAATTAACACTTTTCCTATTGAAGTTTTTCAAGATATTTTTAGGAAGTAGCATATAGAATAAAACAAAAAAAAAGCTTGAATCAATTGTTAAGACTATAATATTTTTAGGTCTCAAGGTATATCATTAACAATATTAATGATATACCTCTATAAAGTCATAGAGACGATAGAAAATATCAAGGAGAAATCGGAGAAACTTCAAAAATTACAGGGATGGGTAATTTTATTGAGCTTTTAAACTTTAGAATTGATGCAAGTGATTTAATTCTAAAGGAGCATCTTCTCTCTGCCCTAAAAAATTCTACATATATTTCAAAGATTGTTCAAAATGAGTTAATTAAGTGTTAAGGAAATGCAATTGAAGAAATTTTATTAAACGATATTAAAAAAAGTAAGTTCTTCTCCATTATTGCACACAAGGCTTCAGACTGTGCAACAATAGAACAACTTTCTATTGTCATACGTTATGTTGACTTGAACAGTTATATTAAGGAAGTTTTTTTTTTACGTTTTTTGAATGCCAAACAGGAACAAGTGGTTTAAACATAGCTACCAACATTCTTAAAATTTTAAAAGAATTTGGTTTAGATATAAGAAAATGCAGAGGCCAGTATTATGATGGAGCTACTTCAATATCAGTTTAACACAAAGGTGTTTCATCTCTTATAAAAAATGTTAATTCTAAGGCATTATTTGTCCACTGTGCTTCACATAAACTTAGTTTAGTTGTTGGTAAAAGTTGCCAAATCATGAAAAAAGTTTGCTTTTAAGCAAGTTAAAGTCTTATTTTTTGAACTTTATTCCTAAAAGATGTAATTGTTTAAATAAAAAATTTCTTCCTGGTCAAGAAAAACTTATTGACACATGTCGAACTCGGTGGGTACAAAAGCTTCGTGGACTTGGTTTTTTGATAATTATTCTACAGTTTTTTCTGCTTTTGAAGAAATAAAAGACAATAATTTAAAAGAGTACAATAAAGAAACATCTTCAAAAGCATCTTCTTTTATGAAGTTATTGACAAATTTTTCTTTTATAGTTTCTTTAGTTTTAACTTAAACAACTAATGCATTACTTTTATGGAATTTCTGTCACCCTTGAAAATAAATCTTTTGATATTTCACAGCAACTAGATGAAATTCAAAATTTGACTAATCGTTTGAAAGAAATACGAAGAAATGCTGATGCTTACCATAACAAATGGTATAAAATTGCTCTTGCATTGGCTAAAACATTTGATATTTATTGAAAAAAAACCTAGAACATGTAATGTTCAAAAGCATATAGATAATTAAATATGTGATACCGTATCTGATTGTTTAAAGTTTCTATTACATTGCCTCTTCTTAATCATCTTCTTAATGAACTAGAAAATAGTTTGATATTGAGAGCTTAATTATTTATAATAGTCTTTGTGTTATTCCTGCTAGTTTAACAAAGTAAATTTTTAGATATTGTCCATGGAAAGAAAAGTTCCTAATTTTTTTGAATTTTTGTAAATCTGATCTTCCTCATTTCTCATCAATTAATGCTGAACTTGGGTTATATGACGAAATTTTGGAATGAGAAGACAGAATTACCATCTACTATTTCAGATACATTTAAGTTTATGGATATGAGAGGCTTTCAAAACATTTTAGGGGCATTTCATATACTTGCTACAATACCAATCACAACTTGTGAGTGTGAAAGGTCAATATCTACTCTTAGGAGAATAAAAACTTATACGAGAGTCATATATGATGTCAGAAAATAGATTGAATGGACTTACTTTAATGTCTATTTATGCTATTGAAATATTTACATCTAAAGGAGACAAAATTAGAGTTTTTATTCAAATAAAAATTTTGAATTTCTGAGTAAAAAATTTAACTACTGTTTTAAAAGTATCTCGTAAATGTAAATAATTTCTCAATAGCAAAATATTTCTACTCATTGTTTTAAACAAGTAAACTGTGAAAATAATTTTTTATTAGCAAATTATTACTATTCATTGTTTTATATAAACTGTGAAACTCATACTTCATTTGCTATTTTTTTTAATTACTAATGTTGAAAGTGTTTTTATGTGATTTAGGTTGTTACTTTTTTGGTTGTTGCTTTATTTGTTGTATTATATTTTGTCTTGTTTATTTATTTATCAAAATTTATATAAAAAAAAAAGTAAAAATAAATTATAAAATGTTTTAAAAATATTTGTATATAACTGCCTATCAAAAAAAAAAAAATCTAGAAGTAGAGGGCTAACCTTAGTCAACACGACAGTTTACTGATGGAGTGCAAAGTCCTATGGCTTACCTTCTCGTTGGTGCACTTCGTTAAGTGATTTAGACAAGTGCTAATTTATGAACTAAATAGCCAAAGCAACATTTTGAATTACTTTATTATTAAATAGATAACTAAAAACAATACAAAATAAAGTTTACCACGATTGACTCGATTGTTTAGAATAACTTTGCATTAGCAGAATATTGTCAAACAAACACGAAGTAAATAAATTTCAATTACAAGTAAAAAGTGAAATATCTGGTTTACAAGCCAACTCCTCATATATGACATATTTTTACCTATAATGCTTTTTAATATTTTATCTGTAATAATTTTTAAAATGTATGCGTTTTTGAATTACACAATTGTTTAGAGAGTTTATTTCTAACAAGAAATATCAAAATCAAGTGCTTTTTTTTATTCACACAGAAAGCTATTTCTACTGGATAAGATTAAAATATTATATAATTTTTGTAAGTCTATGTATATAATATGAATGATCTCTTATTAATTTTATTAATTGATTCCTTATATAAAAATTCGTCGGAGACAAAACATCGCACATTTCGTCTATAACGAATCAACGAAGTTTTTAGCCTCAAGCGTGAGGCTAAAAACTTCGTTGCTTTTTGTAATAATAGCGCTCTCAGATTATTAAATCTAGAGTAGTTAAGTAAAGTAGGCTATTCTCCCTACGTATCAAAGTTTAAAAAAATGATACATAATGAGTCCGTGGGATTACTTCATCGGTCCTTCCCACAGAAAAAAATAAAAGTAAATTAACTTATCTTAAACTGGGGGGAGAGAATAGGGTAATGTCATCCCTTCTTCCTCCACTGGCTAGTATCAAATTGTATTTGGCAATTTTAAACATAGTTGGCAAATTTTGACATTCTAAAGTCGGCAAATAAAATCTTAGCTCCTCTGCTCCAAACGTGAGAGCAACAAGTTGATGAAATATTTTTTATACTATTTTTAACTAGACTTATATTTATCAATAAATTTTAAATTTCATAGTAAAATATTTTAGCGTTCAAAGATTATGACCACATAAAATTTGCAAACCCCTCAAATTGAGGGAGGTTTAAACTTTACAAGTTCATCATTTTAGAGCACAAAAATATTTTACTATGAAATTTTTTTTTGTAAAGAATCTTTTCGTCATTAACTATGAACGTAAAAAAATTTGGAATACTCTTTTTGTTTAAAAGTTGGTTATTTCAACATTTAAAAATCTTCCTACGCCATTGTGTATATATATATATATATATATATATATATATATATATATATATATATATATATATATATATATATATATATATATATATATATATATATATATATATATATATATATATATATATTAAAATAATAACAAAATTAAATTTGTAACATAACTCAGAGTTTCACGCTATATGCGATCATCAGACGTTACAAACCATAACAACAACAAAAATCATATACAAAAATACAATGCAGTGTTTGGTTTGTAACGTCTGATGATCGCATATAGCGTGAAACTCTGAGTTATGTTACAAATTTAATTTAATTATTAATTTAATACAATAAAATTAAATATTGTATATATTTCCTCAACTTTTGTATTGAGCACTGTCTACCGAAAAATTATATTACTGGTATATATATATATATATATATATATATATATATATATATATATATATATATATATATATATATATATATATATATATACATATATACCATACATATATGTACATGCCTAATTAAACTATATAGTGTTTTATTTAAAAATTAACAATTTAACGTCTAGTTTAGATTAAACTAGACGTTAAATTGTTAATTTTTATTTAAACTAACTTTATTCGCGTCAAATTAGACGCGAATAAAGTTAGTTTAAATAAAATTTTCAAACATAGATTAATAAAATACTCCCTCCTCCGTTCTCCGAAATACTGTTCATATATATATATATATATATATATATATATATATATATATATATATATATATATATATATATATATGTATATATATATATATATATATATATATATATATATATATATATATATATATATATATATACCAGTAATATAATTATACCATATATATATATATGTATATATAGTAATATAATTATACTATATATATATATATACCAGTAATATATATATATATATATACCAGTAATATATATATATATATATATATATATATATATATATATATATATATATTACATAATATATATATATACATATATATATATATATATATATATATATATATATATATATATATATATATATATATATATATTACATAAAATATTTTTGAGAGAGGAAATACTTTTTCAAACCAATCTTTTTGAAGATTCTAAAGAAAAACACGAAAATTTGGAAAAAAATCAAAATCGCTTACCATGGAATCAAATTCCATATTTAAATTTTGAATATCATGCTCAAAGTGAAAATAAATTTTCTGAAGTTGCAAAAAAAGTCTCTTAACAATCTTATGGTAAACGATGAATCAAAAGATCAAATTCAAATATAAATTTCAATCGTCGCGAAGAAAATTTAAATAAAGTTTCGCATGCAGAAACTTATATAAACATGCAAATGTTTATAAAATAAAAATGTCATGTTACAATCTTGCGGCAAACCATTCTCAAACAATGAAACAAAAAAACAACTTCAAAAACATTTGCAAATACTGTGGCTCAAAATCAATCAACCTTTTTCAATAAAGTTAAAATTTTTAAAAACACAATAAGCGATGCCGATGAACAAAATAAAAAATTAATTTTTATGTAACTATGGACCAGGCATTTTAATTATATCTACTTTTTTCTGAAACAAATATATTATGACATGCTTTTTTGTGTTTAGTAAATTTAATCCAGATTTTATTAAGCATTCTTTACTTAAGGTAACTAAGAGCAGAAGCTTATAAAAGCGTTTTCATAAAAAAAAAAAAACAAAAAAAAACTGAAGTGACCAAAAAAGATCCTGTAAACCCAACTAACTATCGGTAACCCAAGTAACTATCGGGGTATTATTATCTTACCTATTTTAAGGTGGTTGTACAGTAATTAGAAGAAAAAAAATTGTATTCTGTTTTTTTAAATTTTTTTTTTTTTCTCAAATTGTTTAACATACTATTAGCAAGCTAAAAAAAAAAATTGAAAATTTTTAAAAATTTTGATTGTTTATTTATTTTATAAAGATAATTCAAAACAAGTTTTAACAATTATAAAATACTTATAAAAGTTTTCTACGTTTTACTATTCAAAATTTTTTAAAAATTTTTCAAAATCTTTCAAAATTTTTTAAGTTTTACTATTCAAAACTTTAATCCTTTTTTAATCGAAAATAAATTAAGGAATCATAAATTATTAATTTACAAGTATTCTAATTTCCGCTTAACACTTTTACATTAATAGTACTTAAATTCAAAATAGATTTACTTCATTTAGAAAAGTTTTTTTTTCGAGTTGCCAAAATATAGTTCGCGATATTATTTTGTAAACCCCTCCCCTGGTTAGCGAAGGTGGGGGAGGAAGAAGTTGCAAAAAAATATCGCCGACTATATTTTGGCAATTCATCATCAAAACGGCATCAGTACTTTATTATTACTTACTTGACATTGTTCTCAATTACCCATATAAAATAAAACTAATTACAATATTGCCTTGGCTATTCTGTTCATAAATTAGAGACTTTTTACTTGTCTAACCTATTTAACGAGTGCACCAACGAGAAGGTAAGCCATAGGACTTTGTACTATAAACTATAAACTGTTATGTGGCCTAAGGTTAGCCCTCCATTTCTGGATTCTTTCCTTTTCTTGATAGGCAGTTAGGCCAAATTTTTTTATAAAGTTTAATTTTTTTTAATTTTTTTTGTGGGTTTTTCTAAATTTTACTAAATATAAGATAAACTTAAATAAAAAATATAATAAAATACAAGAGTATAGTCAATTAACACAAAATAAATTAATAAATTTGTATTAGGTAAAAACCAACTCTAACCGTCGTTCCCCTAAAATAGAAAAAAATATTTAAAATTCTTTCTACATCGGGAATTATTTCTTGATGAATAGACATCAGAGCTAAAGAATTAAATCTTGACTCTGTCATGCGGCTTTGCATATAAGTTTTCAGTCTGCGTATAACAGAAATGCTCCTCTCGCATTCACATGTAGTAATTGGAACTGTTCCCATTATTAAAAAACCTTCTCTAATATTTGGAAAACCCCTCATATCAATAGATTTTAAAGTCTTTAAAATAGTGGATGGGATCACAGATTGATTGTTCCAAAATTTTCCCACAAATCTAATTCAGCATGAATTGATGTAGGATGAGACATATCCGATATATAAAAATGCAAAAACTCCATAAAATCTAACTTCCGAAAACATTTTTCTTTATTTTTTTTTACAACAGTTGCAGGAATACCAAATAAACCTTTGTAAACAACGATCTCACCTTCATCAAATCTATCTTATAATTCATTAATTAAATGATCTAGAAGAGGAGATGTGATGGAATATTTGAAATAATCTGAACCTGTGTCAGAGGGACAATTATCTCTATAAACTTGTCTGCCACAGAGCCTTGGTTTAACTTCTGAAACATCAAGAGTCTTAGCTAGATCAAGAGCAATAAGTACCATTCGTTATGTTAGACATAAATATTTTTTTTCAAATCTAAAATTTGAGTTTTTAAACAATTTATTTCATTACACTGTTGTGATATATCAAACACTTTAGTTTGTAGAAGAAGTGATGGCAAAGAAATAGTTCATTAATTGTTTGGTTAAAACTAAACTTACAATAAAAGAAAAATTAGTCGTAAAATTTAAAAAGCATGAAGCTTTTGGAGAAGTATCAATATTATAACTCTTACCTTCATTGTATGCCATTTCTTCCATTGAATGAAAAACAGATATGTAGTTATAAAAAACAACAACAACCAGACCTTTAAGTTTCTGAACCGATCTAGTTCAACATGTATCAATTAATTTTTCTTGACCAGGAAAAATGAATTTATTGAGACAGCTGGCACATTTAGGTGATAAGTTAAAAATATGATATATCTTTGATTTGATTAAAAACATTTTTAACATTCTGAACATTGCATGATTTACTTACAACTAAATTAAGTTTATGGCATGCACAATGAACAAAAAAAGTCTTTGTATTGATAAGTTTATTTCTCGATGAATTACCTTTTAATTTACCAGACATTGCCCCAGCACCATCATATACTTGACCTCTAAATTTTTGGATATCAAGACAAAGATCATCAATTGCAGAAATTATGTTTTGCGCAAGACTAAGACCAATTGCACCAGATTTACATTCAATAAACCGTAGACAGTCTTCATAAATAAAATTATCACAGTCAATGTATCTTATAACTAGAGATAGCTGTTCAAAATTAGAACTATCAGAGGCTCTTGTACACAAGATAGAAAAATAACCTTACTTTTTAATTTTATTAATTAGAACTTCTTTGATTGTTTTTCCACAGAATTCAATAAGTTTTTTTTGTGTGGTTTTAGATATCTAGGTTGCATTATAGGAGCAGAACGAATATGGTGCTTAAGAACTTTATCACCTGCTTCGATACAAAAATTTAAAAGCTCTACAAAGTTACCTATACCAATGTTGTCTTTGCATGTTTCTCCGATCTCTGGATGATATTTACTGTCATCAAGATGACCTCGTAAAGCAATATTATGGCCAAGAAAAATATTTGTCTTTATAATTGGAATTAATTTCTTTCGATTACTTATAATAAGTTTTTTTCTAAGATTATTGATGTCAACTTCAATCAGATTTTTTAATGAGTTAGATCTAGATTGCAGGATGTTAAGACAATGCATTGACATTTGATGAAGTCTACAATTGTTATTGTGATCCATATAAGCACGAATTGCATTACCCCATATTTGAAAAGGTTTTCGAATAAAGTTGATTATTGAGGTATTGTTTGGAATTCTGCTTGCCAACAGTTTACATGGAAGGCAGTATACTTCATCTTTAATCTGTGAGTAAGTTAACCTTATTAAGGTTAGAATATTCAAGTAGCCATTTATATAAAAATGAATGTTTCTTTTTTTCACCAGAAATAGGAAAAATAAAACACAAGTTAGGAACAAATATTTTATTAATTAGATCTAATAACATTTAATCATCTTTGCCAGCAGATAGATGTCTACCACGCTCATAGTAAGTAGAAACATCATAAAAAAGAAGGCTTGAAGACTGATTTGATGAACAAGGAATACAATTAAGTAAGATTGGATTTGAAGTAATATCAGTATTTACATCTATAATTTTAGTTTCATTACCTATGCCAAACTTTACATGAGATTGAACTAATGATTTTTTTTTGAAACTAGAATTTTAGGAGGTTGACAAGATAAGTTAAGAGCCTTAGTGGTAACAGAAGAATGCAATAGAACACTTGGCAAAACTGAACACGATCCTCTTTTTAAATCACTTTTGACAAATTTCTTTGAGCATAAAACTACTCTTTTCACTAAAGGGACAAAATGATTTGGTGATCAAATATCTTTATCCTTGGAAATAGAGCGACAATCAGTGTTACACCATAAAATACTCAGAATTTCTTTATTTGTTTTATGATCACCATGTCGATATATACATACATTAAATAATTATTAATATTTTTCTAGTCCAAATTCAGTATAAATAATGCACTGTAGATAATGCAATTAAACAAAGAAAAGAAGCAAACTTATTGTTTCTGCAATTGTTATAAGCTTCTTTTTTTATAAGTTCAGAAATATTTATGTCAATTCTGTAAAAGAATCAGAAGACTCAAATGAAACACATGCCATGAAAACACTAGAGAGTGAAGAAAAACTTTTAGATTCTACTTGATTTAAGACTATCTCGAACAAAAGGTTGCTTTCTCAAACAACTCAACAGAAGTTAATAGTCGAAGAATTTCATGTGTTTTATCTGATGAATTTATTAATAAAGCAGCAGAGTTGTAAAGACAGTTACCGTTTTCAATTGACCTGTAAAGTCGTAACATATATAAACTAAATATAAATAAAACAAACATAATTAACTAAACACTATTTGTCAAGAATTATTGTTTTATAAACAAAATAAAACATAAAAAAACGTATTTCAACTCATACTTAAAAAAATATATAGTCGTCATATTGCATGGGAATAAAAGCTTCCATTACAGAATTTCTTAAAGAAAGAAGATCTTTGTTTACAACAGGAAAGTTAAAATTTAATTCTTTGAGATTATTACGAAGCTTAGCTTTGTAAGTCGTAATATTAGGCAAATGCTTGGCTTTAATGGAATTGGATTCCAACAAATCCATAATTGCAAACAAAAATTAAATTTGTAATAAAAATTACTTAATGCTAATTTTTGATAAACTTCAATTTATTCGAATACTTAAGGCTTTATACGAATAATTAAGGCGTTGTTAGAATAATTAAGGATTCATTTTTATATATAAACATAACCGGAAACGGAACTCTTTTAATCAAACGTTCCTGCAATTTTTTTTTGTTGTCTACCAGAAGTTCGGGTCAAATGAATCCAGTTGGCAGACGATCCCATGGCTCAGAATTAGATCAAGTTTTTAGTTTGCCGTATTTTATAAAAAAACATACTATAACAATGTTTCAAAGACTTAGCTCTCCTCCGTCATGTCAAAACGCCGCTATTAAATCAGGATACTCCTGAA